CAGCAAGCATGTCCTGACAGAAGACATAGTGCACCGGGAGGTGACCCCTGACCAGAAGCTCCTGTCCAGGCGACTCCTGACCAAGACCAACAGGATGCCCCGCTGGGCCGAGCGACTGTTTCCTGCCAATGTTGCTCACTCGGTGTACATCCTGGAGGACTCCGTTGTGGACCCACAGAATCAGACCATGACCACCTTTACCTGGAACATCAACCATGCCCGGCTCATGGTGGTGGAGGAGCGCTGTGTTTACCACATGAATGCCGACAACAGTGGCTGGACCGAAATCCACCGGGAAGCCTGGGTCTCCTCCACCTTGTTTGGTGTCTCCCGAGCTGTCCAGGAATTTGGTCTGGCCCGGTTTAAAAGCAATGTGACCAAGACGATGAAGGGCTTTGAATACATCCTGGCCAAGCTGCAAGGGGAGGCCCCTCCTAGGACGCTTGTTGAAACCACCAAGGAAGCCACAGAAAAGGCAAAGGAGATGGCACTGGCAGCTACCGAGAGGGCCAAGGACCTCGCCAGCAAGGCAGCCACCAAGAAGCAGCAGCAGCAGCAGCAGTTCGTGTAGCCAGCCCTGCCCTTTGTCCCCACCCTTGACCAGACGATCTGGCTCCCTCCCCCTGACCTGCCTGCAGTATGCTTTCTTAATTAAAAATCAACTTCCAGCCCCTATGTACTGTCTGGGGGGGTGGTGGTGGCGGTGGTGGTGGGGTGTCCATTTGGCACTACAGGACACCAAGCACGTCACCCATGTGTGTGCCAGGCCTGCTTAATTTCCCCCGTGGGCAGCTGAGGGACAGAGAGGTGCAGACTTGCCCTCACAGCTCACAATGGCCAAGAGATGTTGTCTTGAACACTAGACTATAAGCTCCACAGGGGCAGAGATCTGTTTGCTCTCTGATGTGTCCCAGGTACTGAAACAATACTTAGCACATAAGAGGCACTCAATAAATACTTGTTGAATTCAATTAAAAAAAAAAAAAGAAAGAAAGAAAGAAGAAAACAAAAGTCTTCACACATGGGCCAATGAGCAACATCACGGTACCTGGAGAAAAGGTCAAGTGGTCAAGGGTTCCATTTTACTTGGATGCACAGTCAACACCCGGGGAAGCAGCCGTTAAGAAGTGCATTCGCATATTGCATTGGGCAAGTCTGTACTAAAGCAAAGGACTTTGGACTATGGTGTGCCTGACCCAAGCCATGGTGTTTTCAATCGCCTTACATACATATGAATGCTGGACAATGAATAACGGAGTGAACAAGAATCAATGCCTTTGAATTATGGTGAATACTGACTTACTCCATGGACTACCCAAGAATGAACACATCTGTTTTGGAAGGACTATAACCAGAATGCTCCGGAGAAGCACGCATGACAAGACTTTGTCCCATGGACGTTGGGCATCTTGTCCGGGGGCTCAGTCCCTGGAGAAGGACTTAGTAAAGTAGATCAGCCCCAGGATGGGAAGACCCTCAATGAAGTGAGTGGACCGCGTGTCTCCAGCAA